TGAGACGGAGTTTCGCTCTTGTTACCCAGGCTGGAGTGCAATGGCGCGATCTCGGCTCACCGCAACCTCCGTCTCCTGGGTTCAGGCAATTCTCCTGCCTCAGCCTCCTGAGTAGCTGGGATTACAGGCATGCGCCACCATGCCCAGCTAATTTTTTGTATTTTTGGTAGAGACGGGGTTTCACCATGTTGACCAGGATGGTCTCGATCTCTTGACCTCGTGATCCACCCGCCTCGGCCTCCCAAAGTGCTGGGATTACAGGCTTGAGCCACCGCACCCGGCCAGTGTGTACCTTCTTTGCATTCCCTGTGCCCAGTAAGAATTTCTTGCTCTGAGCTGCCTAGAAATAGCTGATTTACTCAACTGGTGAACATGGAGCACCTGTGATGCCCCAAGCACAGTGCATGGCACTGGTCACAGAGCCATGGGCTGGTGAGACACTTTCTGCCTTCATGAAGGTTACAGGCAAGTGACTGATGCCTAACAATGTGAAAGCTGTTTAGACCCAGATGTTCTATAAATAATGTGATATACTTGTTTGGAGTCTAAGTTGGCTTACTAGCTTCTTACTAGAAGGGAGAAATACCTAGTGAGTGGAATGGATGATGCAGTAATGATGATATTGTATCATAATAATAATAGGGACAGAGGGATGGCTTACCTGTGGCGTGGGCCACATTGCCCTTACAGTAGGACCAGGCTCTGTGTCTGTCCTTGAATCTCTGACCAGTGACTAGTGTCTGTACCCATGCTGCTGTTGAGAATCTTCCACCCAGTGCTGTCAGCTGAGATGGCAGATCTCTCCCATTAATTAGAGGACCACATTCCCAGGCAGGTCAATAAGCATGATATGATCGCATAAAATCAAGTCCATGCACTTTAAAATTATGTTCAAGTTTTATAATCATCATGATCACCTCTATGTGTTTTGTTACCTAAGATGTCTCAGAGACATTTAAGAGGCTACGATATATTAGCTTGGTGGTTTTAATTAGAAAGGTTTAAGATAATTTTAGGTGTTCTTGAGAATCCTGATTTAGTTCAAATAAGTTTGGTGTATTTGATTTAAAACAGTTGTTTACGCCGGGTGCTGTGGCTAATGCCTGTACTACAGCACTTTGGGAGGCTAAGGCAGGCAGACACTTGAGGCCAGGAGCTCAAGACCAGCCCAGCCAATTTGGTGAATCCCCATCTCTACTAAAAATAAAAAAGTTAGCTGGAAGTGGTGGTGCATGCCTGTAATCCCAGTTACTCAGGAGGCTGAGGCAGGAGAGTCGCTTGAACCTGTGGGTTGCAGTGAGCTGAGATCATGCCACTGCACTCCAACCTGGGCAACAGAGTGAGACTCTGTCCCAAAAAATGAATGAATAAATAAATAAATAAAAAATAAAACAGTTGTTTAGGTGCTTAGAAAGATTTTACTTCTTAGCTTTATAAGTCTGCCTTGATAGGTACATAAAATGTTTGAAAGATTCAGAAAAATTAAATGTGTAAATAGCAGCTTTGGTAGATAATGTTGATTATTCACAATCAGCTTATCGACTGAGCATAAATACAAATCCAGTGAAAGCACTGCTATTTTTTACACCAAATCAGTAGATTCATAAATAAAATAGAATCTGTATCAGCCGACTCTAAAGTTTTAAGAAAGACAACTTCAGTAATTTTAATAATTTAACGAAAGGCCTGAAACTGGCTCTTTTAACCAAAGTACCTCTTGGGTACTGCAAACATCAGATGGCATTGTGTCTATCGTGATTCTCAACATACAATGTTCAAGTCCATCCAGGCCTTTAGCTTGGAGTTCTTTAGGGGGAAGGCTCTCTGGCTCCAGCATCTGACGTTTTTCACCCCTATTCCTGTACGCAGTGCAGTCCCACCTCATATGCAGTATGGGACCGACAGGCTGACATCTGCCAAGTGTCAGCACAGGTGTGGAGAGGCAGGCGAAGAACACGCCACCCAGCCACGTTGGGGAGACTTAGGGATCAGTTAGCTCACATGTCTGCTTCATGGGTGGGGTTGAGCCACTTACCAGAGGCCCGAGATGGACAGGTGTCTGAGCTGACGCTGGGTTCTGATCTTCCTACCACCCCACGGGGCCTCCCCAAACTTCTTTCATGCCCACCCACCACAGGGAAGCCTGCAGTTTTGAAGTGAGGACTCCTTGTCACTTTAGAAATTAAGAAGACAGGGTATCCATGATTTTTCACATTTTGAGGATTTATGTTTCATGCAATCCCAGCTCCCTATTATAATATGGCTTGTTTATAACACGTAGGGGAACCTGTACTTCATCACTTCAGCAAAAGCCTAGTAGTCAATCCCAGTTACCATGTGTTTTTCTGGTAGGATACAATTTACCTTTTGATTGGAGTTCGAATAAATGCAACCTTTACTGATGGCAGGCAGTGTAATGTACCTCAAAGCAGACCTACCTTAGCTCAAATTCCCACCCTACCATTTACTAGTAGTATGGCCTTGGGCAATTTTAATAACTTTTCAAAGCCTTAGTTTCCTCATTGATAAAACAGTGACATTAAGAGCACATACCTTATTCAGGACTAAGTGAAGTTAATGCACGTAAATTACCCAAGACATAGTAAGTACTGAATGAATGTCAGATAACAACATTCAAAATCAAAAAAGGAGCTTTTTCTTCTGTTGCTTCTTTGGGCATGTAAAAACCATTTGAAGAAAGAATTGAATAAATGCATGTGTGAATGAATAAACATATGAATGAGGCTTTCACTCAGAGAAGGGCAAAGTATGTCTGCTAGTGTTATTTATGTAACAGACAGGTGTGCTTCTGTGTCCCACTGGTACATATCCTTTAACGGTAGAAACCCTGTCCTGTTTATCTTTCTGTATCCTCAAAGTGCTTAACCATATGCCTGGTAAATGGGTGTTTGTCAGATAGATGGATGAACAGATTAAAGGGTAGATGGAAGGAAGAAAGGATGGGCAGAAGGATGGATAGAAGGAAGGGTGGCTGGAAGAAAGGATGGATAGATGGTAGCTGGATGGAAGGATGGATGGATGGAAGGATGGATAGATGATGGCTAAATGGATAGAAGGACAGATAGATGATGGCTGGATGAAGGGAAGGATGGATAGATGATGGATGAGCCTGTTGAGGAACACATTTGGCATTTCTACAGGTATCTTTCTAGGCGTTCCTTTAAGCAGCCAGCAGAGGGCGCACATGCTGTCAAAAAGAGCAAGAGTCAGCCTTGGAGGGGGAGATGGGCCTTTCAGCACAACAGCTCTTGCCTGTGTGGCCCCACTCTGGACCCCATCCAGGTGCAAACACCAACAGCCCTACAGGACTTCTTCGTCATAACCCAACCTTTTTTGGAAAAAAAAAATAGTTAGCATCACAGGCACATATAGCCTTGATGAAAGCTCTGAACCAATGAAGTAAAGCATCACAAGTCCACTGAAGTTGGGATAAAGGCTACTGGGTGGGGGACGGCTTCCTGGTTTGCTCTTGGGCACATCCATACTTCTGTTTATCAATGATAAAGTAGAATTTTACAGCTTAAGGAGCTGGCATCTTAGAAGGGCTCTGAGGTCAGCTTTATAGAAAACATAAAAAAAAAAAAAAGTTCTCCAATTCAAGTTGGAAAAATTATCAGAGAAAACCAACAATTCTAATTTTCAAGAACAAACCAATCCTACAGTCAGTGGTGATTTTTCATTAGTGTTATCTGCTTACTTCTACAAATACTTGTCATTACAGGACATTTTAGAAGGATACAAAATAGACAAGTAATATAATGAAACTTTGGCATTATCATTAGGCTTCAAAAATCATCAAGGTTTTGTCATTCTTATTTGATCTATCCTTCTGCTTTTGGTGGGGGCTGGAGTCATTTGTACTTGCTTATTTTTCACACTTGAATGACACAGTTTAGTTAAAACAAATACCACATTTTGGAACATATTTCTTTAAGTCTTACAAAAAAAAAAAAATCAAGAAGTCAGACTCCTTGAGGAAATGTCCTCTGTCTTGACTCTCTGTGGATTTCCATGATCTCTGGAAAATTCCACTGCAAAGATAAGCCTCAGGAATGAACACAGGGCAGAAAGGCACCGGAGTGCGTGATTCCCACGCTGGCCTGCTCAGGACATCCCTCGGTGCACTTTGGCATAGGTACTTTGGGGTTAACCAAAGGCAGGGGTCACAAGGCGGAAAAATACTTCATTAAAACAGGAGTAAAAGTGATAACTTTGCTGCCTGTTATTTTAAAATTCAGCCTTAATGTTGAAAAGGCAGGAAGTAGAAAAACTCCAGGCACTGAGGGGGATGTTCATACGCCTACCTCACTTTTAGCAGTTTCTGGCTTGATTTTCCCCTTCCTGTTAGTGTAAAAATTCCATTAAAGTAATTGGAGTCAGGCAAGTGTTGGGCTCCCAATCAGGCCCTGGATTAGTGAGAAAAATATTACAGCTGGGAAGCTGCAAGTAAAAAACCACTTTTTACCTATTCTGGTAAAAGGTGGAATCGCAGCTCGGTGACTCCATTTCTTTTCACGAGAAGGCTGTGCCTTCTCCTGGTCAACTGAAGGGTGGACTGAGGAGGTAGGAGAGCAGCAGGGCTCTGGTGTGGCCCAGGCTGTCTGGGTGAAGCCTGCTCAAGGTGCACACGCCGTGTCTTGAGGGGAGCAGAGGGGGAGGTGGCCTGTCCAGGCCGGGGCTCTTCTCTTTAAGGTGAGCAGCCACCTCTGAGAGGCCGGTGCAGGGGAAGGAAGGGGAGGGACAGTGAGCATCTAGAAAGCCACCAGGAGTGCCCCTGAGGGCCAGGCGAAGCTGCTGGGACCTCAGGGAGGTAAGATGGTCAAACGAGCATCTGCCTAAGCCCCCAAACACCTGTGCCACTGTGTGTTAATCTCAGTGTGCACTGGCTCATGGCACTGTAAGACAGAGCCCACCTGTCACCTGTGGTAGGTGTGACTGCACTTCAGGAGCTTGTGTCCAGGGGAGGGTCTGGGTGGATCGTGATGGGGAAAGCAACAGGGACAGTGCTCCAGCAGAGATGTAATTTCTGCTTCTTTCTGTCCCTTCTAAGGGTCTGCAAATGCTTAGTGCTCCTAGGGTGGATGACAAGGTTAGCTAGAGTTACATTTACAATCAAAGTCTGGCTCAAAATCATGCACTTCTGAAGATACACAGCCCTAGACTAATATAAGTAAAACATTATATATCGTTAAAAGAGATCCAATATATAAAGGTTTTCCTCGAAGAAAAACAAAACAAGACATCTCCAAACAATTCTAATATCTGGGGGTCACAGTGAGAGCTGCTGCTGGGGCTTGCAGAGCCTCCCTGCTGGCACCACAAATGAGGGCCACCCCGGCGCCCTCTGCAGCCTCCAGTAGGCTGTGGTACGGATATCATCATTCCCACGTCTCCCTCCATGCATGCGCTGGATGAGAAACAGCAGAGCTGCTTCCATCTCCTTCTGATGGCAGCCTGGGCTGGGTGCTGGGAAAGCAAAGTTACAGAGGTGCAGGGAGGTGCCACCCAGGACGGCGGCAGGCATCCATACAGCACCATCCAACGCCAAGTGCACAAGTGCAAATGCAGGTGGAGGCAACAGGCAGATGTGCCTGCCAGAGTGAGGGGCGAGGGAGGAGGACATCAGGGGAGTTTCATGTGTAGCCTGGAGGCAGGGATGAGGACCAGGATTTGTTCCTTGTCTTTTGTGGAGACTGCAGTGTGCTTCAGAAGCAAATGGGGCTTGGCAGGGCAGAGCCCAGGGGTTGGAAGGAAGCCCTGCCTGCCCAGAAATGGTGGCAGGACCCCTCCCCACGTGGCAGCGGGGACAGAGGCGGGCCTGGGAAGGGGATCACCTGGACGTTGGAGTCCTGGACCAGGCAGAGCTGCTCCTGGATCTTGTGGAGCTCTTCCTGCTGCCACCGGATATTGGCCTGCAGGATCCGCGTCCGCTGCTCCAGCTGGTCTTTGATGGTCTGGAACATGCTGAACTGTGCCGAAAACTTCAAGGTGGAGTTGAAAAACATAACCAGATGAAAGAGTTATTTCAGCCTTGCAGGCAGATCTTGCCACTGCTCAGTCTGGACACTTCATTTCCCGTCCCTTAGCTGTCCTTCCCAGCGTCCCTAAGGAGCCCACGGCTGGGTCCTGGGCAGTGAGCAGGGGCTGCAGATGAGGCCTGGGCATCCTGGGGCCCTTGTGTCCGTCTTTCTCAGGTACCACCTGACAGCAGGCTCACCTGAATCTGCAGACCTGACTTACCACCCTGCAGTCTGGGAGGGCCACCGAATCGGGACAGGATTTTGTAAGCAATGTTTACAAACTGATATTCCAAATGTGGATAGAGGAACAAATGGTTTAGAGCAAAAGCAGGGCATCAGAGAGTCCTGTGTCCACCCCCCCCACCTCATTTAGTACATAGCAGTTTGTATGTGAACTTGCCCTGCCCCATTTAGTGCATAGCAGTTTGTATGTGAACTTCACAGGCATTTTTGGGGCCTGTCATTACCCTAAATCTGATCCTGGCTCTCTCCAAACCAACCTGGGACCATCAAGGCCTTGTTCCCCTCACCCTGCCCTCTCCAGGCTTACTTGCTACTAATCGCGTCTCAGAAATCTGTGCAAAAAACAAAACAATCACCCAGTCTTTGCCCCGAGGGTCTCCCTCTCCAGTGTGACTCTTGGGGTAAAGACAGGGTGATTATTTTGGGTCTCCCCTTCCTTTGGACTTTTATTCCTTTCTGGGGAGGGAAGCTGGCATTAGGAAACCTGTAGGTGGTCTCTGCCTCCTGTCCCCCATCTCTCTCAACAAAGTCTCCTCTGCTTGCAGGAAATGCTGTATGGGAGGGGTGGGAGGAGGGGCCTGAAGCCCCTGCTCTGGGCTCTTTGGGGCTATGGCTCCCATTTCTTGAGGCAAATGAGTTTGCTAGATTCATTTTTTCTCTTTCTCCCTTTTTACCATGACTTAACCTCCACTCCCTCAGTCTCAGCCCCACAATCTCCCTGGTCTGTTTCCTGCCCGCTGTCTTTTCAAATGCCCCCAGAGCTTCTCCCTTTTCCTCTGCCCTTTGACCTGATGGCCATACATGGAGCAGCAAGGAGACCAGGCAAGTTGAGAAACAGGATGAAATAACTGAAAGCACAGCATTGAAGCAACAAAATAATAAAAAGAACCAGTTAGAATAAGAACAACAGGTGCTGACATTTGCAGAGCCCCTCGGGTGCAGCTGCTGCCCCAGGCAAATACAGGTACGTGTGTTGTACTTCTTCACCATGAGCCCCCACCAGCCCAAGAGGCTGCACTCTGCTGGAGGTCACACAGCGAGATGATGGCAGCACCAAAATGTAAATCCCGTCTTAGGAGCTGAGTGAGGCCAAGAGGTTTTGCCTGAAAGACACTCCCACCTAGACCAGAATGGCTTTGACCTCAGATTTCCTTTAAAAGGAAGTTTCTGTTGCTACCCATGCATTTAAAAATATCTGCGTTGGGCTGAGCATGGTGGCTCACACCTGTAATCCCAGAACGTTGGGAGGCCCAGGTAGGCGGATCACCTGAAATCAGGAGTTCAAGACCAGCCTGGCCAACATGGCGAAAACCCATCGCTACTAAAAATACAAAAATTAGCCGGGCCTGGTGGTGGGCACCTGTAATCCCAGCCACTCAGGATGCTGAGGCAGGGAGGATTGCTTGTACTCGGAAGGTGGAGGTGGTAGTGAGCTGAGATTGCGCCACCGCACTCCAGCCCGGGTGACAGAGTCAGACTCCATCTCAAAAATAAATATTTTATTATAAAAATAATAACATGAAAATACCTGAGCTATCCCAGACTCACAAAAATCCCAGTCAGATTGTGACTAATCAATCCACTCTGCTAGGATTTTGAAAGAGGATTCAATGGAGAAAGCAAACGAGCTATAGCAAATATTTAATGAAACACAAAAGCTTCTCTGGCAGGTCCTACAAAGTCAGGAAACTCAGGGTTGCCCCTTCCACCTGCAGTGGAGGCGGCTTGTGGTGCCGAGTCGGCTTGGAAAGGGAGCGTCAAGGGGCTGGATTAGGAAGTGGCAGCTGCCTCTCACGTGACTCTGATTTTTTCAAGGCCTTCCAGACATGCTATCATTTGGCCCTCCTTACCTTCTTGATGGTGATGTTTTTAATAAAGAGATCTACTCTAAAGACATTTTAGAACCACAGTATGAAGAAAGAGCTTTTTGGCAAACCACCAGTTACCCAGATTTTGGATTTCATTTTTCTCTCCTTTCCCTGAAGGGTAAGGGGAGCAAGAGGAAAATCCTAGAATCTTGTTTCACATGAAGTGGGTATGGGAAGAACTGTGTGACTTGGAAAGTCAGTATTATGCAGGGATGTCTTAAAGAATATCGTTACTGGCCTGGTGCAGTTGCTCACACATGTAGTCCCAGCACTTCGGGAGGCCAAGGTTTGCAGATCATCTGAGGTCAGGAGTTCAAGACCAGCCCTGACCAACAGGGCGAAACCCTGTCTCTACCAAAAATACAAAATTAGCCAGGCGTAGTGGTGCATTCCTGTTATCCCAGCTACTGAGGCAGAAGAATCGCGGAGGTTGCAGTGAGCCGAGATAGTGCCATTGCACTCCAGCCTGGGCAACAAGAGTGAAACTCCGTCTCAAAAAACAAATATAGTTATTATTAAGTATAGTACCTCTGTCAGACTAAGAAGTTCAATAAATGAAAAACTAGAATTCCAAAAGGGACTTAATCACACCATTGTGTCTTATGAACGTAGACATTCTTCACAATGCAAGACCTAGAAGTTAAAGAAATTTTCATTTTATGCCCCTTTGGATTAAAAAGTTACTAATTTCATACCAAATGTGCCTTGGAAATTTAAAGAGAAAAACATTATTCAGGTTTTTTTTGGCCTAATGAGGGTGAATATAGGCAGTTTTAATGAGTAGATTCCACAAGGGTAGCTTTACACCACTCCTCAAGCCTGACTCTGGCAAGCAGCATGCGTTAGCTCGTGTCTTACTCCAGGAATTCATGAGAGACCCCCACTAAGAAGGCATATGTTCTAAAATAGTTTTCATCAGTGGTGACAGCTGTGTGCCAAGACAGAGAAGGGCCACCCTGAAAACGGTGCGCCTGGTGGCACCTGCTGCTGAACTGCCCTCTGAGACCCAGCTCTAGCTGTGGCCAGGGTCTGGGCAGAGCTAAATCTCCTATGAGGGAATTGAAGTCAGAGCTCAGGCTTGGGCATAACTCCCTGCTGAAGCACACGCCTGGGCCCCTGTTCCCTGCTGTCCCCCTGCTGCACCATCTGGCAACCTCCTACCCACCTTTCCAGGGCCAACTCAAGTGTCGCCTCCTCCAGGAAGCCACGTCAGACTTCCCTGGGCAGAATATTTCCTTAATGGTTCTATAAAAATGCATGCCCTGCCACGGCGGTGTCTCTGTTTATATGCCTGTCTCTCCCTTTAGCTCAGAGTACTAAAAGCAAGGGCTGAGTTACAGCTTTACATCCCTAACACCTCGCTCACTGACTGACCCAAATAGTAACTCACCGAATGTTGTTGAAACAAGGAAGGAATTACTCAGCAAAGCCGTAATCCCTTTCTTTTCTTTCTTTCTTTTTTTTTTTTTAAAACAAATGTGATATTTATAGTGCTGGACTTACGGCTTTTAGATCCTTTCAGGCTATGACACGCAGCCCAATTCAGACCTTTTCTAAAATACATTGGCCAATTTGGAGTCATAAAGAACAAGAGGAATATGGACAAGTGGCAAAGAGGTGAACAGAGACAGTTAAAAGAATTAAAAAACAGACACTGAACTTTGGCAGCAACTTGGATGGAGCTGGAGGTCATTATTCTAAGTGAAGCAACTCAGAAATAGAAAACCAAATGCCATGTGTTTTCCATTACAAGTGGGAGCTAAACTATGAGGACACAAAGGCGTAAGAATAAAATAATGGGCCAGGCGTGGTGGCTCACGCCTGTAATCCCAGCCCTTTGGGAGGCCGAGGTGGGCGGATCATGAGGTCAGGAGATTAAGACCATCCTGGACAACATGGTGAAACCTCGTCTCTACTAAAAATACAAAAATTAGCTGGGCCTGGTGGCACGTGTCTGTAGTCCCAGCTATTTGGGAGGCTGAGGCAGGATAATTGCTTGAACTTGCGAGGCGGAGGTTGCAGTGAACCAAGATTGCACCACCTCACTCCAGCCTGGCGACAGAGCAAGAAAATGTCTCAAAAAAAAAAAAAAAAAAGAAGAAGAATGTACTTTGGGACTGGTAGGGGGAAGACTGGGAGGCGTGTGAGACACAGAGTACTACATATTGGGTACAGTTTACACCGCTTGAGTAACAGGTACACAAAATCTCAGCCATCACCCCTAAAGAACTTATGCATGTAACCAAACACCAGCTGTTTTCCCCAAAACCATTGAAATTAAAAAGAAAAAAAGAAAAGCCCAGACACCGGAGAAAGAACTTGGAGACTGTATCTGGAGATGAGAGGGTGGGTGTGGGGGAACCTCATGGCTCAACATATACCACGTATACATTGGGAGGGACATTCCCCCATGTTGGGGCCTTGGTCAGGACCTAAGTGTGCAAGACACATCAGCACAGCACACGGCGTGCTTCTGGCTTGAGAAGGGCTACCCTCCTTTTCCGGGTCCCAGACTCACCTGTGCCATGGGAGCAGGTGGGCTCTGCAGAATGGTCTGAGGCAGGAGCTGCTGTGCGAGGTCGCAGGACGATGGGGAAGGCAGGGGAGCCTGTGGGAGAGAAAGGGGCTTTGCTACCACTGCTTCTGCCGTTCCAGGGGGCAGGGATGCGGTCTCTTGGTCCGGTGGGTTCTCTGCCTTCCACACTGGGGTGGACAGCTGAAAGTCAAGACTTCTAGAAAGTATAGGTATCTGATTCCTGGCTGCACTGCTTCCCACGCAGGGCACGTGGGCAGAGCCCCCGCACGGCTGGTGCGGGCTTCCGCCCCACCACAGTGTGCTCTGCCAAGCCCTGCTACCTGCCCAAGCCTGGCAGCTCAGCTCTGCTTCCCTTCCCTTGCCTACTGTCCTGGACTCTGCCTTGGGTGGATTTGGTTGCTCTTCTCCCATATGGATTAATTCTTAGTGGTGTCATCAAGAAGGACAATGTGGGTGGACTGCTACCATGAGCTGGCTTGTGTGCCTGTATCTTTTCTGCTTAGTGCTAGTGCAGATGGACAGACACGCCATGCGGCAGTGAGGACTGGGGCAATTTCAGCAGCCTCTGCCCAGAACCTTTTGAGACTCCTGGAAAGTGAGCTGAGTCACATCTGTGTTCCCTGATCACTCGGGTGGGTGAGGAGAAAATGTATAGGAACAAAAAATGAAATACTCTGCTTCAAGGGCTAGTGGTTTTTTTTTTTTTTTTTTTTTTAAGAACAGTGAAAGGACTCATCTGAAGTCATTCGACACTGTGGCCCCTAGTTGCTAGGGCCTATACAAAAAAGCAGCTCAAATGGAAGTGTCACCCAGGACAGCACTGGGAGGAAATGACACCCAGAGAACTTGTTTCAGTGAGAAGTCCCAGGCACAGGGCTGAACCAGAAGCTATTCTGGGCTCTGTTTCCCTGCACAGCTGGGAGGAGACGGAAGCACTCTGGGGCTCTGTCGTTGGCAGAATGAGTCACACTGGACAAGCGAGAGTCTGGAAGAATGGCAGGCGCAGCTTGCAAGCGCATCTGGAGGGGTCTGGAGAGAAAGTAAGTGGTCTTTGTCATGTTCTACTTGCAAATGAAACGTGTTGCCCAAGCTTCTCAAGCAGGGTGTGCATAGCCTTTATGAAGACAGCAAGCAGGAAGGTGGCACGTTCACTCTATCTCCAAAGTGACAGTGAAGTGTGGGTGGGAGGGTGTGGAGGTGGCCCCTAAAATTCCTAAGCAGTTCTCCCATCTACAAGGGAAGGTCTATATCCCTCTCGATAGGTGAGCTCAGGACTGCTCTGACCAATAGGTATGGCAGTGGTGACACTATGTGACTTCCATGCCTAGGTCACAGAAGTCTGCACAGCTCCTGCCCAGCTCTCCGGATGTCTCCTCTTGGAATATGGAATCCCACCGCTAGGCCAGGAGAAGCCTAAGGCTTAAGAGGCCTGTGCAAGTCAGTGACGGATGGCCTCCGCTGATCCCAGCCCTGGTGCCGGACACTCAAGGGCAGACACGATCTGGGGTGTGAGTTCTCTAGCCTAGGTCCACGAGACCCCTGACACCAAGGGGCAGAGAAGTGCCATCCCCATGATGCCCTTTCTGAATTCCCGACCCAGACTCCATGAACTTGATATACGTGGTTGCCTTAGGCCACTGAGGTAGGTATAGTTTGCTACCTGGCAATAGATGACCAGAGCGGTCCATCCCAGTGACTTTATACCCAGCCAGTGTGCTCCCTCAGGGCCACGCATCCGATGTTCTGGAAGGATCCGGCATACATTGGGGACACTATCTGGTATGTGCAGAGGTACATTTTTGTTGACACTGAGCTGCTCAAACATTTTGACCAGCATGAAAGGGGATTCAAAACAGAAGAATCCTAACTGTGCAGCCCCAGAGGCTCTGGGGGTATGACGGTGTGACCCCAGGTCTGCAGTTTTGCCTTTTATCCTTAAAATTCACTCGGATTTTGTATTCTACGGATATGCATCCATTTTAATTTTGTCATGCAAATGTTTAAAATTAGTTGCCAATTAAATTACTTAACTTCCCACCCCCATCTGCTACCCTACACTCTCAATCCCTAAGTGAAACGGATTCTCTGGGGAGAGGCAGCACACTGCCCGTGGCTCTGCAGCCCCCGCCACATTGCAGCGTACTCCTGTGGAGGAGTTTGGGGTCACACACTTACCGGCATGGTGGCTGCCTGGCTGAGCCCAGGGACAGGTAACTCTTGGGGCAGGGTGGCCGGTCTTGGCAATGCTGGGGTGCTGGCCTCTGCCATCAGCTTGGTTGGAGTGGCTGTAACAAAGTAACGAATGAACTTCCTGACTTACATGTACTTAGCATGTACTCATCCGACGACCATGACCGTGGCATGCACAACACAAGAGCTTAGCTGGGACCTCTGATAAGGGAAGTTGCCATGCGTGGCTGAGCTGACCACAGAAGCCCAGCCTGGGAGCAGGCAGGAGACACCACAAAAACTCCCTAAACTTCACTTCTGCTGCTTGGTCCAATGAGCTGCCTGATCAGATGCCTCCCCAGAATTACTAAAAGCAGCCAAGGGATCAGATCTGTGTGCCACCCACCCAATGTCTTTGTTTGGCTCTGAACAGATACCAGGGTGTGGAGAGGTGATCAGAAGAGATGAAGTCTGGGAAAGAGAGGAGGAGTATAAACCGCATAGTAACCTCTGTCGGAGGCACAGACTGCCCTGATTCCACTCGGGCCTGGGACCCTCTTTGGGGCTGTCCCTCTGGTCTGATGGGGGTCCCTCATCCCACTCCCCATCCATGGAGTCGCACTCACAGGTGGGCTCTGACATGGCTGTATGCGAGGATTTGTGGGAACTTCTTGAGGACGCCGATGGCGAATGACTGGTGTTAAGGCCCGAGGCGCTCACATCGAGGGCGCTAAAGTGCTGCCGAGGTTCCAGGCTGGAGCCCTTGTCCTGAAACACACACGTCCAACAGTCCTCATGTCAGCATCAGGAGGAAAGAATCAGTGGGTGTGACTTTAGTTCTAGATATGTCGACAACCTCAGAAGCTGCTGAGACAAATACCACAGCTGTTTGGGAACGATTCCAAAGACACTCGGGTAGAGTATATACACAGGTGTAACCTAGAGGCCCAGAGAGGCTTGCAGCCGAGAAGCAGTGTTTACTGCTCGTTCTTGCCTTTTGTTTTTATTGTTTACCTTTTGTAATTGACTTTGCATTTTAGTTTTTCCTCAACAGTTGTCACCTCACCACCCAGCATCTTGGCTTTCCAAGAAGAGGGAAAGAGGTTCTAGAAATAAGGTTGCCACTGGCAGTGGATTCTAAAGTCATCAGTGGGACAGGTGCCTTTGGACCTTCCTAGGCCCTTCCCACGCTGCCTCGTGTTACTCATTCTCTGCAGCCTCAGTGTCCACTGGAGTGGGGGACCGGTGAGGGCCAGGGGTCGCCTGTCTTTCGACCTCTTGTTCCTGACTGACCCTGGTTCCCAGGATGTCTCTGTCTCAAATACAGTGTGACAAGGAAGCAGCTGTGACAGTTGACCCCGAGGGACTGTTTTTCCATCCTCTGTGGCTTAGCTGTTATAGGCACATGAAAACAGGTTGGGGCTGGGCGCAGTGGCTCATGCCTGTAATCCCAGCTCTTTGGGAGGCCAAGGCAGACAGATCATTTGAGGTCAGAAGTTCAAGACTAGCCTGGCCAACATGGTGAGACCCTGTCTCTGCCAAAAATACAAAAATTAGCTGGATGTGATGGTGCATGCCTGTAGTCCCGGCTACCTGGGAGGCTGAGGTAGGAGAATGGTTTGAACCCAGGAGGTGGAGGTTGCAGTGAACTGAGATCAGGCCACTGCACTCCAGCCTGGGCAACATAGTGAGACTCCGTCTAAAATAATAATAATAAAAAACAAAACAGGTTGGGATAATTTTTAAGCTAAAGAAGACAACCAAACAGTGATTACCCTCCTAAGCTGCGTTCCTACCTAGTCTTAGAAGAATGGAAGCCGCCAGCATCTCTGGGCTACGTCAATGGGCTGGTCTGTGTACTATGGCCTGGGGTATGAAATCTCGTGCATGTGTCTGCGTGGCTGTTTTGTCTTTTGTGTCATGACTGCAATGGGGGTGGACACCGCGTATAGAAGGGCTGAAGTGATTGACATGTGACCTACAGGCCTTTGTGTAAAACAGAAAAACCAAATGTGGTTGGATGTGCTAAGGTAAATGGCAATTAGGGACCTCGCTGCTTTAGGGAGCCTGGTCTCCCTTTGACCAGGCTCCTTAGAGTGGGGTCCCTGGACCACGGCTGTTTGTGAATTGTGTGTTCCTAGTCAGCAGAGAAGTTAGTCCAGGAAGTGAGAATAAGCATGGAGGAACTTTGGTGCCCATTTGACATCTCTGCACATCAATCCATGCACGGGAATCTGCGTTTTACAAATGCATTGGATAGTGACAGACAGCGAAGCTTAAAAAACCAAACTGGTTCAACACTGCAGATAGTTTGGGAGCTTTTACTTTAAAGGGATTTCTTAACCCAGTGCCTAAGACTGTGTTTGTGTTTATACATATGCGCATTTTTATGAGAAGACATTCTTCCACAGGGCTCCAGTACTCCCCAAGGATCGGAAACCTCAGTGATCAATTTCCGACTGGATGATATGTACTATGCCGTGTGTGTTCTTCAGCTGTGATGTATGGTGTGTCTAACACCTGCCTATTAGCAGCTGGATTCCCTTCTACAACGTGATATATAATGTATGGTGTGACAGAGCTGGGTAATAAACACTTCCACAGACAATGTCAGCTGCGTACTATCCGTGCGCTGGTGATGAATCACCACAGAACACACCACCACACAGCGCAGCTGCCGGGGGAGCTATGGCAGGGCAGCTCTGCCAGGGCACCCACTGCTCTCTGATCTTGAAAGGTGGTTTCTCCTTCCTCCCAACTTAGCCCTTCAGGAGTGAGAGATGCTTCTGTTGGGCCACAGACAGCTTGAAAGGCTGGACCATTGCTGTGGCACCAGCCTCTGGCCCTGGGCTCTGGATTTGGGATCACTGGCAGCCCTGGGAGTTGAGCTTCACCAATTCTAAGATGTACTCTCCACTCCAGCACTCAGATTTGAACATTTCTGAAATTAAAATGTGTCCTTCCATTGATGAAAAGAACTCTTGTTTCAGACACTGGTTGGCAGCATTTTCTTCCTAGTCAACCTTTGCTGTATCTGTCTGGCCGGGATGGACATACCTTTAGTGCTGAGGAGTGGAGGGCCTCGGACGACGGGTCTTCCAGAGCCAACCCCTGCCTCCTTTCCACCCGGACATCTGCGTAACTGTGCAGGAAATGAAGAGACCACAGTGGAAGTGGGGTGTTCCAGGACAGGACGACACCACCCGAGCAGACTGCAAGGTGCATCGAGGTTCTCCACGTAACACCCGCCCCCACAACAGTCAACAGAGAGAAGCCTAGTCTGTTACTGTTGGAAGGTATGAGCGTCATTCCCTGCCTTAAATTCCACCCGAGTGACTTATAATATTACATTCAAAATCATTTTATTTCTAGGATGTCTTTATTCCCCTCTCATTTACTATTCTTTTTACTTCCCTGAAATCTCGAATTGTAATTGTCTTTAAAAAACACATTTTTGTCTATGGGATAAGCTTCTGCCTTTAAATAATTAGAAGCCTTTCTTAAAACCTGTTCAGTCTGGACCGTGCATATGGAAGAGTGACAGAAAACTTTTTTAGTAGTTACATTTCTCAGAAAGTTTCCTCTCAAAGAAACCCAGAACTGGCCAAAGCCAGACCACAGATGTGCCCACAGGCCCACTTGTCAATAGTGTGGGTAAATCAACTCAGCACAGTGATGCCCAAGTGATCCTATGATGCCTCTGCCCTGGGTGTGGAGACCCTGGGGCAAGAGACCTTGGGAAGCAGCGTGGCTCCTGAGCCTCCGGAATGCCTGCCACCTGATTCATTCACTCGGTTCCCTCCCTCCTTTCTCTGAGCATTTCTTCCGAGGATTTGAGAGGCAGAGGATGGAGAAGAGCTGGTAGAGGGCACAGCCTGAAGAGTGAGGGGTCAGTGCTGCCCAGCCTTCCCTGGGGGCAGGCGGCCCTCGGGCAGAGGACCAGGCTGGGTGGCAACAGGGGGCTGCCATGAAGTCAGAGACCACTACTGCTGCATGCCCAGGGTGGGCTGGGAATCGAAGAGCGAATGCCTGAGTGAGGGCGTGAGGTGTGATAAAGTGGCATCAGGGTCACTGGCGGCCGAAAACTAGTGTCTCTCCCTTCTTCTGCATGTTAAGGAAGAATGCTTGACTTGGCGACCTGATGTATGTATGGGGTGTGTGTGTGTGTGTGTGTGTGTGTGTGTGTGTGTGTGTGGTGTAGTGTCTGTCTACATCTGTCTGTTACATGTATAGAGTCATGTGCTTATAGGATGTATTGGTGCTTCCCTAAGATCAGAACACTGTATTTTTTAAATTATGCTTTAAGTTCTGGGGTACATGTGCAGATCGTGCAGGATTGTTACATATGTATACACATGCCATGGTGGTTTGCTGCATCCATCCCCCGTCACCTACATTAGGTATTTCTCCTAATGTTATCCCTCTGCAATCCCCCCACCCCCTGCTATCCCTTCCCTAGCCCCCCCACCCCCCAACAGGCCCCCGTGTGTGATGTTCCCCTCCCTGAGAACACTGTATTTTTATTGTACCTTTTCTGTGTTCAGATACGTTTAGAGGCACAGATACTTACACCTGTGCCATGACTGTCTGCAGTGTTCAGTACAGCAGCATGCTGTTCAGGTGTGCAGCCTAGGAACAATACACTCTATGGTATAGCCAAGGTGTATGGTAGGCCACACCATCAAGATGCGTGTGAGGGCCGGGCGCGGTGGCTCAAGCCTGTAATCCCAGCACTTTGGGAGGCCGAGGCGGGTGGATCACAAGGTCAAGAGATCAAGACCATCCTGGTCAACATGGTGAAACCCCGTCTCTACTAAAAATACAAAAAATTAGCTGGGCATGGTGGCGCGTGCCTGTAGTCCCAGCTACTCAGGAGGCTGAGGCAGGAGAATTGCCTGAACCCAGGAGGCGGAGGTTGCGGTGAGCCGAGATCGACCCCTTCCACCCCAGCCGGGAAAAAAAGGGGAAACCCCGTCCCCAAAAAAAAAAAAAAAAAAAAAAAAAAGATGCGTGTGAGTACACTACGATGCTTGCATGATGACAAAATCACCTAATAACACATTTCTCGGAACAGATATCCATTAGCAAGCAGCAAGTGACTGTATATAAGAAACACATGTGAAATTTAAAGTAGTTTTTTTTTAATTCTATGGAATACTATGCAGCCATAGAAAAGACTGAGTTCATGTCCTTTGCAGGGACGTGGATGAAGCTGGAAGCCATCATTCTCAGCAAACCAACACAGGTACAGAAAACCGAACACCACATGTTCTCAGTCATAGGTGGCAGTTGAACAATGAGAACACATGGACAGAGGGAGGGGACTATCACACACCAGGGCCTGTTGGGGGTGGGAGCAAGGGGAGGGAGAGCATTAGGAGAAATACCTAATGCATGTAGGGCTTAAACCCTAGATGACGGGTTGATAGGTGCAGCAAACCACCCTGGCACAGGTAAACCTATGTAACAAACCTGCATGTTCTGCACATGTTCCCAGAACTTAAAGTAAAAAAAAAGAATAAAAAAGAAAGAAGTGCTGTCCTTTCAACCTTTCTTTCTTTGCCCTTCTCCAAGGCTCTTCTGTAGGCCAGCTTGAAACTAATTTACATTCTTAAAATTTCTGTAGTGGGGGAGAGGACCATTTTCTCCTTCATCCTTGGGAGCTGTGACCCCACAAATGCGGCGTCTATGAAACCCTGGACATACGGCATCTCTTTGAAGTCCTGCTCACCGCCCCTGGGTGGACGGCTCCCTGAGGCCAACAGGGACCTACTGGGAACCTGCGCCCACTGGCAGCGAGGCTGTTTTCCCAACACTGCTTCAGTTGCCAGCAGGGATTTTTAAAGCATTAAAAATAAAGGGGAATATGTGTTTGAGTTATTTAGAGGCAAAATTTAAATTTTCTGCTCAAAGCAGCGACAAGGGAAGGCTGTGGGTCGGATGGAGATGGGAAAATATGTAAGTAGGTCAGTGAAGCAGTCACTTACTAAGTAATATCCTGGCAGCCTGCGAGAGTCCATGAGGCGTTCAAAGGGGCCTGACTGAGAGCTTGAAAGGAGTCTCAGCCCTGGGGGGGCAGAGCCAGTGGGGCCTGGAAGCGAGCTGAACTCTGGGAATTGTGCTGTTAGTAGCAGGGGATGGCCTGGGCTTGATCCTCAAAATGAGGAACACCTGAGTGACTGCTGATCTGACTTGGCCATCAGGGGCCACCCTGTACCCCTCCAAGGTGAAACAAGGACGGAGTCGCGCCCCTCCCATGCACGGTACCTGACCACTGAGTGTGTGCACACGATGAACTCGGGCTTGGAGTTCCACTGATGGTAGGTGATGTAGTAGTGAGTCTGCAGCCAAATCCACTGCTGACCTTTGGTCAGAAACCGGTAGCAACACGACTTCCCTTTGCCAAACTGCATCACTGTGAGTAGAAAATAGACGCTGCATATAACAAATGTTAATATGAAACTGATCTTTTCCCCAATAGTTACTGTTCAGCTTTCAATACCAAACATGGCTTATTTCCCCGGTTGCCCCGTATTTTAAGTGACTATCAGGATAACGGCACGCTGTCATGAATTCTTAAACAGTAGAAGAATGATCCATATACTTTCCCAAATGCTCAGAAGCTTAAAGCGATCCTCAAATAAGGGCAGATGCAGACGGATTTTCAAACTGCAGGTTGAATCAAAAAGAGACCCAGGTTTGCCTGGTACCCATCTTCCTGCTGCAGATGGAGCTGTCTTTGGAGCTGCAGGAGCTCAGGAGAGAGCATCCAGAATTGGCCCGAAAACAGACCTGCCAGCCAGCAACCTCTGGATGGATTCTGTGACTGTCAGTCAGCAGTTCATGCTCAGCTTACACAGTTCTCAAATAAAGGGTCAGGGACAGATGCCTCCACCCCAGGCTTCCTCCTTCCCCACAGCCGCTTGGAGTCCCCCCGACAGTGATGTCTGCTGGTGGCTTCTCTAGGGATGTCCAGAGCAGGATGGATGCTGATGGTGTATCAGCCTGAGTAGGGCAGAAAGAAGGACTACGGATCCAAGGAAGAACAATTGGGGTTTTATTGCCATAGTGCCTGGAATTTACCACCTCCTCAGGTAAACGGCTAAGAGAAATCTTAACCAGGAAACTGATGCTACGAAAGGACACTGACCTAGAGAATGTGATTATCTGCAGAGGAAAAAAACCCAGCAGATTGAGGGGTGGGCTCTGTAGAGCAAGGACATCTTGCCCAAGCCACGGAGAAGCCTTTCAAATGCTGAATAATTCTTCACTTGGGGATCTTGTAAATATAGATACCCTGATTGAGTAGGCCTGATTCTACAAGTGTAGCAAACTTCTGTGATGCCTACCCATCTGGTCCTAGACCATGCTTTGAGGGGCAATTAAAGTTTTAATGATTAGCTTTAAATTCTAACAGCCGATCCAGATGGAACTCAAGCCTATTCTTCATTCCCTCTCCATAGAAGAGAAAGTTCTCGCCGGGCATGGTGGCCATGCCTGTAATGCAAGCATTTTGGGAGGCCGAGGAGGGCAGATCACTTGAGGTCAGGAGTTTGAGAACAGCCTGGCCAACATGGTGAAACCCTATCTCTACCAAAAATACACAAATTAGCTGGGCATGGTGGCACACGCCTGTAATCCCAGCTACTCGGGAGGCTGAGGTGGGATAATCGCTTGAACCTGGGCGGCGAAGGTTGCGGTGTGCCAAAATTGTGCCACTGCACTCCAGCCTGGGTGATGGAGAGAGAATCTGTCTCAAAAAAAAAAAGTTCTAATGGGTACTAAAGGTGAGGCATTTTTTAAAGCACAATGTTAGTGGTCAATTCATACATCAGATCAATAGGTCGATGTTCCTGTTCAAAGTTAAGAGTTGGCACTGAAAATACAGCTTCCAGTGGTTAGTTCCTAAAGCCACTTGCTAAGTGACAACTTGGACAAACTTGTAATTCTTACTCCCCACATCATAAGTCCTATCCCCCATATATCTGCTAATGTGCTTCCCTCTTCTGTGGCAAAGAGCCTTCCCTGACCCCCACCAGTGGTGAGGGTCCTCTGGAGCCCCCCCAATATGCTGTGTACATCCCCTTCGATGCACCGACAACATTCTACAAAGTCACCCATTTCTGGCTTTCCCAGCAGACCTGCCCTGCAGGACAGCAAGCAGGTACTGATCATCCCCATATGCCAGCCTACTCAGTATCTGGCCTATGGCTAGTGACCAATACACATCTGCTGATGAAAAAACAGTCATGAGAATTCGGTATTTTATGTCTGAAATGTATGGCATAACTTAAAAAAAAAATCCCTGCATCACCTTAGTTTCTTAATTAGGTTTAAACAGGGTGCTTGTCTGGATGGTAGTGGGAAGGTGCTGGGGTGTGGGGCCAAGTTAATTCCAGGTGAAAACCTGACATGGGGATAAATGCCGATGAGGGCCTCCACCATGCCCCCAGATCATCTCAGGGAACACCAAGTTCCCCACATTAAAAAGAAACCAGGTAACGAGCAGAGACTTCTGGAGTCCCAGAGCCCTGCTGTCCGGGCCCCAATGGAGTGAACGCAAGGCCCCCACGCCTGGGCTGGGCAGTGGTACTCACGGTGCTGGTGGCACCTGGCCAGGAGCTCCAGGTCATCGATGTGGTAGTAGTCATAGCCCGAGGTTCCCAGCACTTCAAAAGGCAGGTATCCTATGATTGGAGGCGCTCTGCACAAGGACAGGGGGGACTTGTCATCAGGGAGGTGACACACTGCAGGGCTCACCCTAGTGGCCATGCCTTGCCATGAGCAGGGCTGCACGTTTCATGATCAACATGGAGGCCTCATTTCTCAAGAACAAGGCGAGAAAAATAACTCTGCAATGGTCTAAAACACAGAGGCTGTGTTTTCCAAAGGACTCAACTTTTTTTTTGGCAGTAGATACTCCTTTCCCTTGGCATAGCTTGGCCGGAATAACAATAAGCTTTATCGCTACTGGGTAATTAAAACCAGCTACAGATCGGGTCAGCCTAACCCCAAAGCATAATACAAAATGAAAGGGTGGGGTGGGGGGATATGGAGTTCTTCACCTGAAAATAATGTTACAAAGGAAAAAATAAAGATTAGGCTAAAGGATCAAAGGATGTTGAAAACAATGAGATGAGAGATTTCTCTCATATTTGCTGCTGCCTTACTGGGAGCTGGGAAGGGCCCCAAGTAAGGATCATCCCAAAGATGCCCCGGGGCTGAGGCATCTGACCCAAACACAGAACATATTCACGATGCAGCAGATGTAGTCGGAGAGAAACCACCCACCCTTGGCAGGGAGACAGTCCTTCTCCTTCAATGGGCCAGGGCCGACTCACCTCTCCCAAGGAGAGCCTGGCTCACGCAAACAAGACTTGAGAAGGGCCCAACCCAAATATGTTTTTCTTTTCACAAACCTGTGATCCAGAAATAAAAATTTCCATTCCAAGCTATGCCTTGAAGTGAATTCCTCTAAAGGTTCGTCAACTATGCACATTTCCTGTATTGGAAGCAGAAAAAAAAAAGTTGCTTGGGTGCCAGATGCTCACCCTAGGTTTGTTCAAGAGGAACGCATGGTGGGTAACAGAAGTTAAAATCATTTCGAGCAAGTCTCCAAGTTGTGTTGGACTGAAACTCATCATCTGTAGCTAATTTCGGTATTAGCTGATACTAAATGTATTTCACGAGCTGGGGAAAAATACCTAGGAGCCAAAATGTCACACCATCCCTTCCCATTATCGAGAAGTGTGGTAAACATGTGGAAAATGGCTTTTCATCTGAATCTGAATTACTCATTTAACTCAACATTCATGCCGTAGACATTGAAGCAATCACAGATGAGAGAAGGCAGACAAACCCCCAACACTCCGACACTCGGTTCTCACCCAGGCCTGCCCTGAATGGTATTAACGCCTGTGTGAAAGGTAGGAAGATTTACATTTATCGAACAGCACCTCTGCAGGCTGAACAGCAAGGGATGCTGTCTTCAAACAAAACAACTTGCAGAAACGGGGTAGGGGAAAGGGCGTGTTTGCAGGCATGGAAGCCAGACACTTCAATTTTCAAAGCCAGTGACAACTTCACTGAAATTTATTCTCTCCCAAAAGACCATTAACTACATGTAACAAAATGTGACTCAATCATAACAGCTCCGCAGCGGTGCCTCTCAGGTACTTGCCTTTAAGAATTGCGGTGTTGCCAGACGAACAGTGGCAATGAAGCAAACCTCCTTTCCTAGTGGCACCCGGCAAGGTCTTGAAAGGGTGTTGTCAAAACCGTTACAGGAGGGGCTAGGCACTGGGGGGTTGGAAAGAGGAGGACACATAGGTTAGCCCCGTCTGGTGACAGCAGCCAGCCCCTAGCTGGCTTAGCTCTAAGCCAAGCACTGCCCCCAGGGCTTATGTACAGTATATTAACTGATTTCATTCTTACAACTGGATGAGTTAGGTCATATTATTATTCCCATTGCACAATAAGGAAACTGAGGCACAGGGGGACGTAACTTGTGCAAGACCAAAAAGCTTGCTAGAGCTGGGATTTGAGTCCATGCTGGTCAGCAGTATTCAGCACTGCCTCTCACTTCCACTAGCCCTATGGCTTATTATGATGGGAAAAACAGTCGACAAAATGGGAAGACAGGCCGGGCACGGTGGCTCACGCCTGTAATCTCAGCACTTTGGGAGGCCAAGGCAGGCAGATCACTTGATGCCAGAAGTTCCAGAGCAGCCTGGCCAACATGGCAAAACCCCGTCTCTACTGAAAAAAAAAAAAAAAAAAAAAAAAAAAAAA